ACCAACATCGAGGTACACGCATGCACACTAAGAGACCTCAATGCATGCAAATAAAGAATGTAGTTGACTCTTACAACAGTCTCTACGAGATTAGGTGTGTAGTACCTACAAGAACAACAAAGGGTTGCAGAATGCATGTGTCCTATATGCACTATTGGAATCTCCAACACAAGCAACAACGTCTGTTGATTGAAGAAGGTGACACTGGAGATCAATAATGGATCCATCATTGCAAATAAATTTTGAACAGCAAAGGTGGGCATGATGCGGATGTAATAGACTCCTACAACAATCCCTACAAGTGCCTGTAGATTGAGATGGCAATATTACCATTCGATGGTGGAAGACCGTCCCCTACAAACAAGTGCAATCATCAAAATCACCTGAGATTGATGAAAGGTGGATATGATGTAGACAATAATGGCTCTTCTACGAATATTTCCAGGAGGTCGTCGTGGATACAATAGGTCCCTGCAAATGAACACAAATTACTTGTGGATAACAATAGTGGATATCACCTATGACAACGGTGATTAATATCTTCAACTACGTCGGGTACAAGGGCAACTCGATGTACAAAAAAAGATACCTCCTGGCAGAATTGAAGAGAGGTTTGAACAAATTAGAACAAATTAGAACAAAACTTCCTAATGCTCCAAAGTTTCTTCTTGGTCCTATCCTTAAGAAGAAAATAGTTCTGGTGTGCACAAACACCAGAAATAATAAGTCTACTATGCTAAAGATCCTAAAAGGAGTTCTTTCCAAGGCGGCGGTCATCGATCTCAAAGTCCAGAAGATCCCTCCCGATGAATGAGAAAAGGGAGTTTGTATCAGAACAATGAAATATTTCATTGCAATCAGGTGATAATACTACAATTCACCTGTATACAAAAGTAAGAGATTCGTTAGTGCACTACAATCCACCTGCATAAAGCAATAAGTAGTGCACGACAGCCTTCCTGTGCAAAGCAGCGAACAACTCAATTCAGAAACTGCTACTCTCCACCACCAGATCTGCAACACTCATACAGGCAGACAGAAGTTATTCACAAGCTCCTAAAACACACCACCGGATCTGCAACATCCATGCAAGCGGCCAGAAGGTATTTACAAATATTTCAAGAATGCCCCTGCACATGCACCGTAGTTTGTATACACATAGGTACACAAGGGGTAAATACAATCGCGACCCGCATGGGTCCCGGCGAGCGTGTTATTGGTACACACGTGACGTGTAGGTATACTGCGTGGGTCAATAAGTGAATTCAAGTTCGAACCCGATCCTTCTACGCGGATCAATAGGAGTAGACAGGGTTTCAACTTTTAAAACAAATACACGATTATGGCGACCATTGTATTTATTTTAATACCTTAATATTAGGCCTTCAAGACCTATAATCAAGAGAAATCACTGATAAAGGGTTAAATCCTACGAATCCCGATCCTCCTGAGCAGGTAAATAAGAGTAGACAGGATTCAAACCATCGAATAAATATGCGGTCACGAAGTTGACCGGAATATTTATTTTATGCATTCATATTAAGTCTTCAAGTCTTTTAACAAACAAAATTCACAAACAAATGCATGAAGCCCGAGAAACCCGATCCTCTGTTGACAGCCCAACAGAGTTAACAAGGTTCATCCAAAAAATGAAAATATTTTTAAATGGAAATGAACTCAAAGTTACCCCGATGATGGCCGTGTTGAATGTAAATCTCAACCGAAGGGGTTAATTGAAAATATTTCAAGCTCCACCCAAATGCCCATCAAAATCCAAAGCTTCACAAGTTCCAAAATCCCAAAGATCATGCAAATCTCAAAATTTAAAATTGAAATCCAACCATTAAAACATTTAAAGTAAAATTCATCGACCCTCCGCAACAGTTTGCAGGGGTGGACAAGTTAAAATATACTTCAGCTCACAAAGAGCTAATGCCTAGTCGAAAATATCACTAAGATTCATTCTCAAACAATCTCCTGCCAATAAGGATGTGGTACGTATCCTATGATCGGCGGTTTTGCCGCCAAATGGCACCGCAGGATAAACGGTTATAACCCGGGGCCCTCTGAACCGAGTGGTTTTGCCGCCAAATGGCACCACGAAATATCTGTTATGGCCAGAGCCAATACGTTCCTTAGTGGTATCAAATCCTTGAGATATGAATCAATAGGATATGATTAATAGGGCACAAAGCCCTCTGTTAGCTAAGGTGGATTCAAATTTGTCCCCATAGACAAATGCTCCCCCCAGGTCTACAAGGTACCCTTGGACGAAGCAACCCATGGTTGCCGATAAAGATCCTTTTATCAAGTTGGGTCGACTACCTCCTCTAACTAAGTAGACCAGGGACCAAGATGGCCCGGGACGACAGAACCATGGGATCTTGATCGGGTCCATCATCCATTCCCCCACCATCTGCTTTTAAGTGAAAGATGGTGAAATTTTCATTTTTTAAATATCAATTCTCAAACCCTACCTATATCCATGCTTCTACTATATGCCAGATAACATGTATTTATACGTATCTGATTGATGACTAGCCTTAATCGAAACTTCTCTCTCGTTATCGGGACGGGTAATTAACTATACGAGCTTGCGTCTATAGGAAACCAAAACTCAGATTATAAAGTCCTCGCAAAATGAGGGCAAAATCTCTGGGTACTGTCTTATCTACAAACCCATCTGCCTTCCAAAATTTTTCTCGAAACTTAAATGTCTTAAAACTCCCCTCGCCAAAAAAAAGCAGAAACGCGGGCGGAGGCCGGGGCCGAATTTTCGAAGCCCACATATTTTCTTTTCTTTTATAATTTCATCTTTTACTCACATTGCAGGAGACAAGCTAGGCCAAGGAGGCAAAATTAGATTTGCATGATGCAATTAATATGGTGGAAGTGTTCAATTTGGTAAAATCTATTTATCTAATGATATTCACACTACATGTACAAGTGAAATGGATTGAGTAATTACACTGTGTATGCAATATTAGTACATATTTATCTAAGTATGTCAATCAAAGTTTGTAAATTATGTTATGACTAATGAACTTTTTCCTTTCGAAATGGTGCAATGACTTTTGAAAAGTTTTCTTTTTAAATATATCAAGTAGGTTCGTTTCTTCTACACTTTAAGAATATTCATGGCATTCATCAACTAAGTTACTTTAACATAGTGAAAAAAAAAAGTTTATCTAACGACAAGCTAGGAAAATTTATGACATAGCACACATTAATTAAATGTTCACCTACCTGTTACAACTAATGGGAAAATAAAGATATTATTATACAGCCAATAACTAAGAAATTAAATGCAACACAGATAAGAACGATAGAATAAAAATAATAGAATAGATAACTAGTTCAACAAAATGACTCAACAGAATGATTAAAAAATAAAACAAATAAAATATAAAGAGAATATTAACTACTGCCTTCTAACATCAGTATTTCTTCTTCTGAGCAAGTTATACATTTTAGATCACAATTCTGTTTGTGCTGGGCAACATAATATATAAAACGCAAATTGTCGTATTATCTCCTACCACTCCACTGTGGATAAAAATTTCTTCTTATCACAATGAAGTGGAACACTTATAAAACTAATGATACAAATGTAATATGAATTCATCCTTTGTGTTATTCCAATTTCGATACAATCTAACATTTAAATCAAATCCCTCACTATTCACATCATTACATTCTACTCCAAATTTTTACTGCATCGGCTTATAGTATCGCACTTGAAGGAGATTAAGCCAGATTAAATGACAATCTGTCACAATAAACCTGTCTTGCACTTTCTTCCATGCATATTAAATTAGAAATCCTCCTATTGGGTTACAATGTGTCGCTATAGCTTCCGCATGTAATCTTTATAACAACTTATCATAATCTAAGATTTGAACATGCATACAACAGTGGCATGCCTCATTTGACCTAACATTTATTTCTAATATATGATTGTTTGATGTCTCATCAATGCCCCTTTAGCTTAGTGTTCTTAGCACTAACAAAGGTTGAACGATCATTCATTAGTTTTCTTACGATGATGCTTTCCATCACTATAAATTGGGATGGTTTTCAAAACAACCATAGCAAAATCTTAGAAGTTAAAACTAAAGGGTTTAGGGCAAACCATGATGGTTGTATACTTCCTATCGATTACTTTAAATATACATTTATAGCTCCAGTATTATAAACAAAAATGGCTTTCTTGAATGTATCCTATAAAGTCAACTGATTGTGGGCCCCTCATTTGCCTATCATGCAACAGTAAAATGGGAATCAAATGTTTTCGCTAGCTCTAAAAGCACCATGAATTAAGATAAAAACAAGGTATTCTCCCTTGAAATTTTTCTTTAGCCACAATAGTGAAAAAAGGATTCCTCTTATTTTGATGCAATACTCCTGACCCGCCTACAAGATCAAATGTGACCAAGATCAATAGATGTTGATGAGTTGTACGAAAAATGAGCTCCTAAATTACCATGTGCATGATAGACAAAGAGAATAAATTAAGCCTATAAACTCTTATTGCATCATGATAGTAGCAATAACCAACACATGAAATCAGGCTAATTGCCCAGTCTATGGCGACTAGCTTCTTTTAAATTATTTCTTTTCAAAAATCAGTTTTATATTAAAAAAATTATCCTCGGCCAAAATAATTTTAGATTTGTATCCGCTTAAAGCTTTTTATATTCAGGTAGCCAGGAGAATTGTATTAAATGAACAATAGAGACGAAATTTTAAGGAAATGGGGCTCCAACATCAATATCATGCAAGTGTGACTCTCTAAGCTTTCATTTAATATTACCAAATGTGTATTTTTTATTTTTATTTCAATTTGAAATATGCTTTTTTTATACTTCAAAATAAATACAGAATAAATGACATTTATTTATATACCTGCTAAATGCATGTGTTGTACTTGTGTTAATCATAAAAATATTCCAAGTCAATACATCATATTGAACGAATTCGGTTAAAAAAAAAAGGCTAACCTGTTGAGAACGGTCCATTGTCCTCAGAGATCTTGAAAACTCGAAATAATATGTGCCCTTCTCACCACCTTTGGAATATGGACTGTCATCTTCAACCAATGCTGAATTTTTTTATTCAAATAACGAAAAAAATATTTATATATTCAGGAGATGCACAAACTCAGTATATTTAGTTTTCATTCAGCAACCAAAGGGAAACAAAATTTCACTCATAAGATAAAGGAAATTAAGTATGGGATGATTCTTGAAGCAGGCTAATGCATGTTAAACCCGAGAAGGAAGATAAAATTTTGAAGGGAAGAACAAATATTTCTATATTCTGTGTTTCTCGCTGTTACAGTAGAAGCGTTCACGAAAAGGAAAAGCATGCTGATAGCAAATAAAAAACTAATATAAATGATTCTAGGTTAAAAATAAGCTTTCATTGTGTTAAACATAGGCATTTTCAATGTCATGCAAACTCTCCTACAGCTTGATATCTTTCAACAGAACCAGAAAAGGGCATTCTTCTAGATGTCCTCAAAATAATGACTACAAGCTGACAATGATGTGAACAAACAGGTTGTGAATCTGCGACCCTTTTTGGATTCTCGCTTCTTATAAGAACATATGCTTACCGAACGCACTATCTAATATGTGTTCAATAACCAACACGCTGGTTGGTTGTGCCTTGTATGTCCTTGTGCGTCTGCATTGCATTGCTACAAGCAATGTGCATCAATGAATTAAAATAAGAAAAAATGAAAATTCTTGCCCGCACAAGAAGATTAGAGCTTTCAGGTTGTACAATAGGATGTAAAGTGGAGTATGATAAGAAACATATCTGCAAAAATAATGATAAAAAAAACAACCTAGTACAGGCAAAATACCTGAATGGGTAGTAATCATGCTATGCCACCACGCCCCCTGCCAATCATTTTGTGCGTAAGAACTGTTTCCTGAGATATTTTTTTATAAAGGAGAAAATGTGGTAAGCTCATAAACACAAAATAGTCAAATATATATATATATATATATATAATATATATATATATATATATATATACATATTTTTTTTTAATTAGCCTAGATAGGCCGGATTTATGAATCCTTTTCCATCCATTTATGTAGGGTGATATATCTATTAACTTCAAGCTATGTAACATTTGATATACCCTTATTCTCTTTCCATTCGCTTCACATTTTTTCTAGCTCCTAACTTTGTGGTGCATCTTATGCTCTCAACTGAATATGCCAAATTGGCAAAGCAATTTCATACAATAGTAAAGATAAATACAACAACAATATCAAGTATTTATCCCACTATATGAGGTCGGCTACATGAATCATTTTTCTCCATTGTCCTGTTAAGAGAGAAATTCTTATTTAAAATTAATAAAGAAAAATCATTTCTAATACTTTCTAACCAAGCCTTTTTAGGTCTACATTTATCTTTCTTATCATAGGTCAGATCTAATATATCTACTCTCCTAATCAGGTCATCACAAGGCTAACATTTTATATGACCAAACCATCTAAGGCGACTCTCTCTAATCTTATCTACCACTAGGGTAATGGGCAATCTAAGCCAGTCCAGCCAATCAACTCGGCCCCCAACAAGAAAGACTAGTCTAGCTGGAAAGCAGAAGAGCCCTATGGGCCTCACTAGTGTGGACAGTAGGCATGAAGAGAGGGGGATTCAAAGAGGATTAATTCTACTTTTAATTACTTACTGTAGAAAATAAAAAATTTTGCCCGCCACCTACATGGTTTTGAGAGAACTCATGGCTTTAGATAACCCAACATCTTCCCTGATCACCACTCTCCTTCCCTCCACCATCATTTCCTTTGTTAGTGCTCCCCATTTGACATTAGTGTCTCCCAAAGTCTGCTTGTCTCCACCTACCCTACGCCCATCATCACCCTGTAGCACCCTGTGTCCACTAGCTTCACCCCTAATTGGTCGACAACCTGGTTGGAGATTAAATCATGGATAAGCCCACTATCTATCTTCACCACTACCTCCATGTCCGCTATCTCTCTTCTCAATTTCATGGTGTGATTTGGAGTGAATCACACCAATAAGTTTAAGGAGACCTCCACCACGTCTAAATCCAGCTCTTCTTCCTCCCCCACTGCCTCACTCCCACCTCCCTAAACTTCCTCGTCATCATAAACGGTGAGAACCTGAAGAGTTCGATCCTTACAGTAGTGTCATGTTATATATCTCTCATTATATCTGAAGCACAACCCCTTCACCCTCTTCTCCTATAACTCTGACTTAGTGAGCTTCTTAAAGTTTCCCCCAAGTCTCCCTCCTACAGTTTTCTCCTTCGAGATCTACTTAAGAATATCCGGTGTCGGCCCCTTGTTGCTAAAAAGGTGATGGTCATCCTGTATTATCTTCCTTAGTTGCTACATCTAGCTCCTCTTTCCAAGTGCCTTTGATCCTCCACTAACTAGGCTAGCTCCATAGCCTCTCCCACATCACGAGGCTTCATAATTCTAACTGCCACCTGAATCTCTAGTTTGTGCTCTTTCATAAAGTTTCCCTCTAGCACAATCTCTGAAAGCTAGTCCAGTCGGCTAGCAATATACTCAAACCTTTCACGGTACTCCACCACTGTCCTATCCTACATTAAAGTATGATTTTCCCTTTCCTTCCAAAAAAAAAGAGATACTACCGGGAACTAATCGACCTGATGAAATTAGTAATATTATACACGAATGTACTAAACAATGCAATACATAAGTAAAGATTGTGAATACGGGTACCATACTTCAAGTGGGCAACGACTTTGCTCGTTAGAGCGAAGAACTGCTCATAAAAGTCCCCTCCCTTACTAGTTCGGAAACATTCCTACAAACAGTCCTTAAACTCCCTCCAGATCCATATGGGCCACCTCATATCCCTCCACTGGTACCATGCCAACACTTTCCTCTCCAAACACAGCTTGACCATCATTGGTCTCTTCTCCTCCGTCAACCCATTAACGGCAAAGTACCTTTCCACCCCATAGATCCACCCATGTGCATCATCTCCCTTCAAAAGCAGACACCTTCAGCTTCATCACCGTCGGATCACTTGTGCTCCCTCTATTTCCTCCACAACTTCTCATTCCCTATAAGGGTGGTCCTCCCAAGTGTCCCGATCATCCTTTTTACGCTCGTACCAAAACCCTTCATTAAAATTCCCTCTCCTCCTTCCAAATTCAGCACGCTTCGTTCATATCTAATTCCCTCACGTCTCTCCCTATACCCGTTCATTTCCTCCCTAGGAATAGGCTCAAGAGGTTTCATTCTCTCTTCTCCCTCCAAAATCTCCACTTCCTGATCTTCCCATCTCCTTATCATTATTAGGGTTTCCCCAACTCCCATGGCTGTCGGCAGCTCCCCTCACCTCCTACGATGTCGTTTTGGTTTGGACCTCGAGCATCTTCCTTATCATATCCTCCATGATGGCAAACTTCCCATTGATCTTCTCATGGACAACTGAAATTTAAGTTTCAAAATATGAATTTTTTCTTTGAAATTATATTTCAATTGTCCAATCTATCCTTCCAACACTTCTACCTTTCTTCCTACTGTAGGTACATGGATCTTGGCTCTGATATAAATTAATGACGCTTAAATTGAGAGAAACTAGGAAGAGGAACACACAAGAACACTTTTTATTAAAAGATTTATGAAGAGAAACTCAATATTCAATTGGATCTTAAAATGGAGAGGAAGATCCAACTCCCCCAAATCTCTAGCTGCCGGCTAAAGCCTTCTCAACCTAAGGAATTCTAAATTCAGCAAGTTCAAGCAAACCCTAACCCTAGGGTAAACAACATACTTAAAGCATACAAAGTATAGAAAATCCCCAAAAACAGCCCTTCCCAAATTTATTTTCCCTCCTAGTCGGCCACTCCTAGACTTTAATTTTCCCTTGGGCCCCACCCCAAGGGGGGTGGGAATCCATCCAGGCAGCTATGTTCTGCATGGCATAAACTTTGGCGGGTCTCAGAGGGATTAGCCCATCCTTAACCAATCTAGGAGGGACCGGTCCATCAGAATTAAATTTGAGATGTTTTTTACAATCCTGGCCTAGCTCAATGTAAGGTAAAAGAAAGGGCTGGCAAAAAGAAAAAGACCTCTAGTTTTTTACTAGATGAAGTCAAGGTGGTCTTCTTTACCAAAGTCCGATAGATGGGTGATCTGTCAAAATGTAGCGGAGCAATAACTAAACTTCGCACATTTTTAAAATGTTGGATTATCACAAAAAATAAATAAATAAAAACATAGAGGTGAAAAACAATACAGTTACTCTAAAAAGGTACACGGCATGATACCTCACTAGGATTAATGCAAATCTAAATGAGGGTTGAATTCTCTTACTATTACTAAATAAATAGACGAAAGATCATTACAATGATGAATGAGATTATGAAATAATTACTTAGATAAGCTCACTATTACCATATGTGTAATCTAATTGCAGAATAGTTCTGTTCTATAGCGTGTCTATTCAATATGATCAATCATGCAAGATGATTCAAGATTAAAGTTTCCTCTGATCAAATAATATGCTTAGTATAATTTCATAAATTACAAGTTATCAAATAACTAGACAATCTATTTTCTTTAAATGAAAGCAAAAGACATTAAAAATCAAGGATAATGAGATGTTTGAAAATATCGAAGAATTTCAGCAAAAAATCAAAAATAAATAAAATCAACAAGCAAATCGAAATAATTTCACAAAACAAATTTATGGTGCCCTGTTTTTATCAAAATCAAAAGCACTAAATAAGTCAATAAAGAAAATTATGTAGATGAAATGGAATAAGGGACACCTCATGCCGGTTTTTTATTAATTATTTATTTTTTATTTTTTATTTTTAAGCCTCACGTCGGTATAAAAAGCAGACCTTCCCCAAAATTAGATAACCGCACTTGCATTACACTCAAAGGAATCAGACGACATTCTACTTGCACTCATAAAATTGAAGTTGCACAGAATCTTTTTCTTAAAGATAAAAGTTATTAATTAAAAAATTTTAACTGTTATTTATACTCCTCAGAGCCTAGATTAGTAGATAAAATTGGCATTGGATCAATCTCAACTTAAATTTGAATAAATCCAAACAACCAATTAAACTTTCAAAATAGATGAAATACAATCTTCATGCCGAACAACCAGAACTCCATGACAGCATAAACGTCACACGCACCATAACTCAAACGCACGTAAGAGCCAGACAAACACAACCACCACTTCCCTGATATACGACAACAACCAAACCAACAAACTACTTTATCATATTTGTAAATGAATACCGTCTAATTTCACCCCTTAAACATTTAAATACCAAGTTTCCAAGAAACAAATATTGGTTTTCATGAATTGAACAACCCACACAATATTTTTTCAGAACTAACCTCAACTTAAATGAAGACTGAAATTATACGAACAAAATAAACTAACTTGAAGTTAGGAAATAAAATACAGCCTTTCTCTATCATTATCATTGGCATGTCCTCAAAATAGAAATAATAAATTAAACAAAATAAAATAAAGAAATGAAAATTCATTACCTGTGAAGAAATTAATGCTTGGTGCAATGCTTACTATGAGAAATGTGAAGAAATTAATGCTTGGTGCAATGCATAAATTTTTATCAAACAAGTTCAGGTTAAAAAAATTTGGCTTTGATGAATTTAATATTGGATACATATCAAGTAAATGTAGACATAAAGTATGAATCTCCTGTAAAGTAACTCGTCATAATCATAGCCACGTATGCCTCGATAGTGCATAAGGTATCTCTGAAATTCATCATTAGCGGTGGGAAAAATTATATCATTTAGAATAGCTTCGAAAATAAGCTGCATGATAGGAACTAGCAAAGAATTGTATGTGAACTCACAAGAGATGAAGAGTGTGAAATTTAAGGTGTTGGTTGTATACTGATTA